AACTGACAGCTAGTGAAGACCACGGCTTATCTAAGCACCCCTTTCAACACTGAGGGCTATAACCATGATCTCACTGAACCTTCCCCCCCACTTTAGCAGTACAGCGAGGTCCGCGCAACCCCACTCTTGAACTAGCTTAGAACGTGAGGGGAACTTATCAAACCACGACGCGCCCCCCGCCGCCATCACCAAGGGTCTTGCCAGCGCAGCTGCCCTTTCTTGGACTTGACCTTCTCTCCTCCTGCCTTCTCTGAAGCCTGCTTGGCCTCTTTCGAGGTCTTATGGAGACGTAGTTCGGCGTCCAGCTTGCCTGCCTTCTCCAGAAGCCTATCCATGACCAGAAAATTGAGTCGCTCGAACTGCACGTCCAAGCGGTTCGCCTCATCAAAGTCGTCGAACCTCTCTTTGGTCATGTCGTCAGCCTCTTGATTCTGCCAGCGGGGTACCCACTGGAGATCAAGCTCTATATGCCCCGCCGATCCAGCTGTGTCGCCAACTCCATGGCCACTATACTCAAAGGAAAACGACTGCTGCCGAACTTCTTCAGGACGTGTGTGTTCCCCAAGTTATCTGTAAGGGCTGTCAATGTGACGGTGGAGTCTCCCTCCGCCCAAATCGAATCAGGCGCCAGCACCATCACCGCCGCTAGCACACCGATGAGCTCGAGTGTGGCGATTGAGCGGAACGGGTCCCCCTTCAAGTATGCCCGTGCGGCGTTCCTGCGGTTGAGCTTAAAAGAGAACCACCGTGCCTGTTTCTGCGGAACTCCACCCCAGGTCTCCCAGCCTCTGATGACAATCTCCTCGCCAGCTGCTTTGGCGTCGACACGGAATATGTCGGTTGGCGAAGACATCAAAGGCTCGAGCACCTCACCGGCTTGCGCGCCACTTCTTCCCTCGCATACTCCAGCAGAATGACGGCGGCATCTGGAAACCTAGCAAACGTCCCGCCTGCCAGCGACGCTGACCATGAAAAGAGCGGTGCCAGAAAAGGTCGAAGGTGGCGCAATGCGCCTGCCACAAATGACAGCCTGCCTAGCACCGACTTCAACTCTCGTCCCAGCACTCCGCCCTGCTCCAGCTTGGCGTCAACCCACCTGGTGATCTACGTCCTTTTCGGCTCGTTGATTCCCCGAGTGAAGTTTGCCACCTCCAGGTGGTAGCCAATAATCCAGTCCACCTCGGCTCGATCTTGAGGGTGCTTGTTCCCCTCTCCACAGTGGCCCCCAAGATGTCTGCCTCTGCGTCTTCTCGGTGTATTCCTATCCTCCAGCTTGATGTTGCGCACACTCTGGAACTTGATCAAAAGATCTTGTACTTCAACCTTGTTCAGGGCCCGTGGTAAGCTTGCCACGCCAGCCTCCGCCTCTGCTTTACTCTTGCGCTTGCAGACTCACAAGTCTAAGTGTCCACCAGCGCCGCAATCTCGACCACATCTCTTGCTGATTTTAGTCCTAGGACATCCGTGCAGAAGGTCCTCACGCCTGCCCTATTGTCGGCAATTGTACTCATCCTGCTCATACTTCCAACTCGCGCCACTGCCAGCTTGGCCTGGAGCACCTCGTCGACCTTCTTCACCTGCAATAGCCCATGCAGATCCGCGTCGATCAAGGCGATGGCGTTCCGCCTTCGTTCATCTGTATCACGACCGATCCCGGCTATGATTGACGCCGCCCCGCGCCGGCTCGAAACACGCCGGCACGCCTCGCGGCCTGCCCTTCCCTTTGCTTAGGCCAAAAGTGATCATGATCAAGATGCTATTGCATCTCCTCTCACCTGTCCACGCAGCACAGTCCAACGCGCTTAGAACCTATGCTCACAGCATGCAACGTTTCACAGCCAACCTTCACCTCCTAAGTGCCCCAATTACAACACAAGAGACGACGACCGAACGCGCGCTTCCCGGTCCGCCCGCGCCGCATGACCCTCTCTATCATGTTTGAAGATGCCCGCTAGTTGGCACCTTCCATACCTATCCATGTATGACACTGCCCGGCCTGAGACCTGTGCTCTCGCGTCCTTTGTGCCACACCCCGCCAGCGCGGTCTGTGTTCTCTTATCCACGAGATGTTGCTGTCTTCTCACCCCGTGCTGTCGTCCCCCTCCGTCTCTGTCATCTCTGATGAAGAGACTTCTCCCGAAGAATCGTCTTCCCCGAGATCCTTACCTGCCTCAGAAATCTCTGCAATGCCCTTAAGC